TTTGTAATTTCATTAAGAATAATACAATGGCGTCATGTTAACGATTTCGCCGCGGCTGGGGGTGTCAATTTGGATGTCCCCGTGGTGGCTTACCGAGGAGGATGTTTACGATTTCGGCACGGCCGTGGGTGACAATGATGAAGTCCTCATGATCGCAGTCCACGGGAGATGTTTTTAACACGAATTTGCCGCGATCGCAAGTGTCGATGATGATGTCCCCGTGATTGCGGTCCGCGGCAGATGTTCATGATTTCACCGCGGCTGTGAGTGTTGATGATGATGTCCCTGTGATCGTGGTTCACGGGAGTTGTTAACGATTTCGCCGCGGCTCGGGGTGTCAATGAGGACGTTCCCGTGATGGCTTCCCGAGCGGGATGTTTAAGATTTCGGCACGGCCGCGGGTGACAATGATGAAGTCGTCATGATCGCAGTCGACGGGAGAGGTTTTTTAACACGACTTTGCCGCGATCGCAAGTTTCAATTATGATGTCCCCGTGATTGCGGCCCGCGGGAGATGTTCACGATTTTACTGCGGTCCCGGATAACTATGATGGCTTTGACTTGGTTTAGGAGAGATGTCCACGATTTCATCCAGGATCACGGGTGTCGATGATGATGTCCCCTTGATGTATTGGAGATAGTCACTATTACTTCCGCGATCGCAAGGAATTTTCACCACAGGGGGAGGGCCGCTCAAGTAATTTGGCCTAGGGCCGCAAGTACCCTAAATCCGGCACTGTCAGGCCTACTCATTGGCCAATCACAGCCTTACTAAAGTTACCATGGTTATCACTCAATCACAGTGTACTAAACATTATCGTCATCATTCCCCAGCTGTTGTATCTGAAATCTGTTGTAACATAGCGCACAGCAGACAGAAGTGTATAACGGAGCAGACGATTGTTGGCGCAAGCGTTGTTTCCATTTCATTTTCATCAAAGGAGCTGTGATGTTTCTAAAGGGAGGGAGATGGGATCGTTATATCGAGAAAGACGCTGACAATTCGTTAAGCAGAGGTTACGAACGCTATATAGATATTCTGGAAAAAAAAATTCCTTTAATTGAGGTGACTTATAATACTCTAATTTTATTTATATAGGAAGATAAGTTTTCCAGTCCTGTACAACACTGATTCACGGTCTTTTCCCTGTAATCAAAATTCAAGTACAACTTGATACACACAGAATCTCCGGTTCCCGACCTGGATGATGGCTAGTTATTTAATTTAATTTACAGTTACATATTAGTACTCGTGATAAATCAAACCCGTTGTAAGCCACACGGTTATTAATCTCACTTGGTTTTGGATTTGCTTACAAACGTGATCGGAAATGGTTAGGGCCTACACAGTATTCTTAAAGAACATTTATGTAAAAATATCAGTGACAGCTAGGAAAAGGAATCTTTATCAAAACAGCTGTTCGTAATTTCATATATGACGTGTTCTCTTAACAGATTATTAGTATTTCATAAATTAATGACTTATGTAGTAAACATGGAGAAAATAAACTAGAAAAATCACACAAAATTGTGTTTTTGATCGTCCGTTATTTTATTTCCAAAATAGTGAGGCCATATTTTAATGGCTATAAGGACTCTCTCGCCAATCCTGTGGATACAATTAAACCATTAGAATCATAATCGGTACTCTAGTTTTCTTTAGAGTAGGCCATGAGTAGGCTGCATAAAATGCCTTCTGGGCCGTGACAGACGGACATAAATTGAGATAAGACATGTTTCAACTTCTTCAATGTACAAAACATAAATAACCCCAAAATATGTATAAGTCTGAGCAATGTACAGACAAAACTATAACTTTATTGATATAACTGGGTTTGAATTTTAAATAGGCTACCGTATCTAAATAAAATTATAAAACTTCTTTTATAGTTTTACAAATAGTGCTGGGCGGGGGAATAATGTTTCTCATTTGTTGTGTACATCATTTATGAGGGGGGGGGGGGCTGTTGCTCAATTTGGGGGGGGGGGTGCGTCATGCGTCTAGGGGGGGATGGGCACCCCTGGATTTCGTCAAACAGAATATGTAAAATTTGTGTCTGTAAGGTAAAGATGTATGTCTGGATGCAATATACAATAAAAAAAAGAGTCAGAGAGTTCCGAGGTATTTTGTTATCTGAGTTTTTAAAAGATCTAAAATCACGGTTATTATAGAATGTCATCAAACATAGTTACTCGTTCGGTCATACTTTATCGTTACCGTGAATTAATTAAAATACACACGCATCATTAAGGTGCGAAATGTTAAGTTTTGGTTTTAGTACATCGGCAATGAGTTAACTATCAACCACTCTTCGGATCTGTTCTGTAACAGCTTTAACTAACTCCTCTAGCGTAACCAAATCTTCACTTGTATCTAAATAATGTTCAGGGAACATTACGGGTTTTCGTATAAAAATTAACCATTTTATTAAATAAGGTTATATTAATTTTGTATTTAATTTGATAATCTAAAATGTTTAAAACTTTAGAAAAAAATTTAGGTAAATTACGAGTCAATCCAGCGGTATACGGACACAAGTCGCAAACTCAGAAATCGAATGAATAATAAATGTGATTTATTTGCGCAATATTTAAAGTTAAATGCATTGTCAGTGGCCCGAAGGTACAAGCATACGTTCTATATACGATTTGAAATGGAACTTTCAATAAACTATGATCTTATATATTTTATGGTACAGTATTTGGTACTTAAAATATTGTATCAATACCTAACTTACATTTCATGTGGCTACAACCTTTGCTGAGTTCCAGCGCAAAATATTTAATCGGTCACATGACTAAAATTAGTTAGAACGTTAGGAAAAAATAAAAATAAAATTATTAAACTTGTAAAACAGGAATTGTGTATTTAAAATTTACAGTTGGATGGTTTAAAAGCGATTCACAGTAATATAATTGCATGAGCGCACTATGCATTTATATTGAAGCCTATGTCTTTATTCTTTCTTTAATCATGCTAGCCTTAGAGGAGAAAATTAATTACTTTAATCTGTATTCATATAATTCATTACACTTAAGTATTACACACAATTAAAATAGTTTTAAATGTTTTGCGGACTGAGTAATTATTTAATTATTTTGTCTATGGTGATACTTTATAGAATCTTAATATTTTAGCCAAAAACTCTGTAGTCTACTTGTAGGACTCCCCTACGTAGAAATTAGAAAGTTTATATACAGAGAGTAAAAATGTTTTAAACTAACCGAGTAACTTTTTTTTATTTAAAAATGGGTACTCTGGTTTTTCTGTATATTTAAAGTAGCCTGGTGGAAATATTAATACAAGAATATTCTTTGGCATATAAGTAAATGATTAAAATTATGCTGCACCGATATTAAAATAGTAATTAATAAAATATAACATACAGTTAAAACGTTTTTAGAGGCGTTTTCTGTACATGATCGACTATATTAATATTGGTGATAATGCATGAAAGCACGTATAAAGATTAATGTTTTGATCTAATCAAGGAAATTCTTCCTTTTAGGAATCTTTTACAGGGCTTATTAATTGTTCTAGGTTTACCTAAAGTCACTTTAAAACATATTACCGAAAAGCTATATCTATACATATACACTGTAATTTTTTCCGACGATCGCGACTTCAGATTCTGATTACATCAGATTGACTTTTTATAGCGAATTTTCAAATAAACCCCTTAGTTATATTTCAATCAAACTTAGATTGTTTCGTTTACAGTTTTGTTAAAGCAAGTCCAAACCATATTTTAATACCTCGTTTTGGTTAATTTTAGTAGAAGATAATGTAAATAGTTGGATAATATTTACCAACATAATTTTAAAGTTATTCATTTACATAATCAGTTATTTTAGAAAGATAAGTTCATATCCTTATTTTGTTGGTAACAATATTACAAACAAATAAAAACATCTTTTAGTTGCTTTAATTTCAAAAGTTTAACAATGAAAATTAAAATTGTCAATTTTTGGTGTCAACAAAATCGGTCGTTCAAACAACACTGGTTAATAGTTTTGTATCTAGCATACCATATAAGTTAAAATACCTAATTAAATTTATGCATAAAATGTGCATTATTTTTACTACATCTTGAACTAATTAATGTTAACTGCATACTCTAATGTGTACTGTTTGCGGTAGTTGCTAATCGATTAGTTTACGCTGTAGTCATATATATTTTGTTTAAATGGAGAAATTCGGGAAATATTTTAATTTGAAAATAAATTTAATGCAGGATGTTTAAGTAATCGTTAATAACTTAAATGTTAGTATTGTTGCAATTCCTGCACAGCTCAACTTCTTATGTTCTAATTTTATACTCAGTTTCAAAGTACATGTTTGGTTCTGTATACATTAGGTATCGATTTTTAAACCAAATATTGTTTCTTTATGTTCTGATGTTTATTCTATGTCAGTATTTCAGCGTCATTGCCATTGTCATACAAAATATATCAATTTTAATTTATGTATTTATGTACTGTTAACATAGCAGCTAATATTATTATTGTAGTTTTCTTAAAACACTCAAACTACCACATAGCATGTTGACATTGTATGTATTTATTGTAAAATGGTATATAACGTGTTAATAAATAAACAAATAAACGCTTAGGTAAATATTACTTCTAGATAAAAAAAATATGAGGAAACATCAAGTTGATTTTAGATTAAAACTGCCACAAACGAAATAGAAAATCGATTTAGTCATATTTCAGCTGTGGTAATTTAATACCTAAAAATTAATAAACAATTAAGATGATAAAAATATCACTAATTTGAGGTATATGATTATTTTATAGCATGTTTGACTTCGAAGGGTGATTATAGATTATAGATAGATACTATATCACAATATTAACTCATAATTACAAATAAGCCTATAATTTGTTGTTAATGATGTGTATAAGTCAGCAATTAGACAATTGTAAATTGTTTAATTCAATGCGAAACATCAAAAATGTAAAAAAACACAATTATTAACCTTTTGAAAATACTGTACCAACAGAATAAAACAAGTACCAAAACCCGTCGTCTACAACCAAGAGTTTATTTACCAGATCAATAACAAGGATTTGAATCCCGCGGGAAAACCACACAGTCGAAAACCCCGCAATAAAACTATAAATCGAGTGAAGAGTTCAACAATACCGCATTAAAATCACAGCACTTCACCAATCCACACAACAAGCACAAAATGGCGATCGGTGATGGAAGTTGGCTCGATTAATTACACTAATTAATTCGCGATAATGCCTCGACCATCAAACTAGAACAATACGTGTGAACTGACGAGGCACGCAGCGCTATAGCGGAGAGTCGACGAACTACACGTCGCGCTGCCATTGGTCCTCCGCGAGCCAATCAGACAGCAGTTATGGTCGCATGACGTCACACACCCCTGTAGTTTTATTGTTACCTTCAATTGTATTGGGGTTCATTGTCGTTGACACTTCCACCCTCAATAAAATAACTTAAAGGGTTCTATTTTAATTGCGCCTACTTTGACTCGGATACGGTTACCCAGTTAATTGCATCAAATCAAGTTCAAGTAGGATATGTACAAATGAAGCGTTGAACTGGGAGGGTTGAACACTGTCACTGTCACGTGATGCTTTGACTTTGTAGTTTGCAGTTCGATAAGTTACTTTACAGGTTTAATTTGACGACTTGTGATGTTAAAAAGGGGTTTAAAATTTTACAATCGTGTAAATCCTCTTCATTCTCAATTTAAAAACCCGTATGCAAATAATCAATCAAAACTATTTACTTGAACTCTAAATCCAAACACAAGAAAACAAAACAATCATTACACAACTATATTGTAACTAGACTAAATAAATTAACACTGAACAATTTGTACATACTATTTTTCAGACAACAAATCAGAATGTGGCCTACACTTATTATACATGACAACATCTCTATATTCAATACAAATTTAGGATTAAATAAGTCCTATTAAATAAGTTATATTTTGTTCTGTAACCTGAACCAATATGCTTGGAACTTAAATCTGATGGAAAATCGTTAGTGCGGAATTAAATTATCTACAGCTTTTATTGTACAATGTACAGTACAGTTAAAGTATTGTTTATTAAGCTCTTTAGATTATTGTTGATTTGTTATAGATTGTTATACTATGTTTTATCTATGGTTATACTTTGTTATTTCTCCACTTTGTTATTCAGAACTGCGTTATATTGAAATTTGTTGTCTCGTTTCCAGTCTTTACTACTTGTTAGTTTGATAATCATCATTCTTACAAGTGCCTAGGTTTGCTGCTACAGGGAGGGTAAAAAAGTGTTAATTCGGTTTTCTTTTTAGTATTTGAAATTATCCAGGCTCTCTCGCTTTTTCCATTGTAATATTTATCCCAACCCAAATTCAAATAGTAAATACAGTATTTTTTCATTTCAACCAAGTTAGTAAATGTTTGTAGAAAAATGAAATTAGCAAACTTATTGACTGTTTACAATTAACATATGTTCTTCTTCTCACTTTTAATTTCTGACAACAGCTGGAGTTTCATAACAATGTTTGTTTCCCATGTTTATCTTATGGAGAAATACGAAACTTTAAGGGCCGCAGGGCCTCACACTCTAATTATTTCCCCTAAAAAGAAAGTTTCCTGCACAACTTCATGTTACGCTCTTTTTAATGACACCAAAAACATGTCAATATGTTCAGTAGTTTCGGAGGAGTAATTGTTACAAAAAACCTGCTTGCGTATTAAATAAGTAACTAGTGAACCTGTGCGGCTCAATGCCCCGCAAAATAACATATGAATTTAGAAAACAAATTCATCGTGTTATATATTGACTCGACGTCGAAAATTAAATACAGTAATAATAAAGCCTTAAAAGCGAAGCAGTCCAGCCATTTTCTAGCTGAATGTGTATTATATTTAGTAAATTAATAAGTGTTGAAGTTCAAGTATGTTATAGGGTAGTTATTTTTTAAAGATTTTTAAAAACAGATTCAACAAACAATTTAATCATATCGAACCAATAGGCCTGTGTAGCATATTTTGAGGTTCATAAAATGCTGCTTGAAGAAAACACTTAAAAAAATAAACACTACAAAACAACATTTTTTTTCTCACAAAAGCACTTCCATGAATACTACGATTTTAGTCATAAAGTTACCTTCAGGAATATTACCCTGGTCAGAATTTACCGTAATGAATATGCGTATCCTACTAAAAGATGTTGCCTTACTTAAAACAACATATAATATAGTTGCTCATGCACTGAAATTGGTCTGGATAAGAACAGTGCTGCTCTTTAATTAAAGTGCTTGGGCTGCAAATGCCAAAGATAATAGAAATTAGCATCTTTCCATTTTAAAAGGTAAGTTTGTTTCAGACGGGCAAATTTTTATCCTCGAAATCAAAATATGTCCCCACTCACTTGTTCCAGTTAGGACTTTTCATTCTATTAAGTTGTTGACCGTTCTGATCACATGAAGCCTTATCCCATTAATGAGGCCCTTTTTGATGTATTAATATTCCTCATCAATAAAACCACTGCCCCCTTTTATTAGTCTAATCTGTGTCTTGGCAATCCACTGACCTCTATTTTATATTTAACAACTCAGTTGGATTTTCTAGATGGGTGTCTCCGCCTTCGTCTGTTTTCGAGGACCCGCTCTTCTTTCCCTTGGTATACTGACAATAAATTGTCAAGTCCATGTAGTGATTCATTAATACTGTTAGTTTATAAAGAAAATTAGAAGTTAAATTAAGTTAAGTTAAAAATTAAAAGTTACTTGGCTTAGTGCTATCATAACTGCAAACTCAAAATACACCCACAAGTAAAAAAGAATCAAGTTATTGGTTAACAAAAATAACAATATTATTCACATGAAGTAGATGATTTGTTTGATTTGTTGATCAGCTGTTTAGTTTCAAATGAATTAATATTGTCAAAGATTTGTGATTTTAAATACATAAATTATTATATTAAAGTTTTCTAAATCATGGTAACTTATTCTCAACTGAATTTTACCATTCCCAGCATTAAAATAAAGTAGTAAGATCCATTATGAGTAAACTTTAAGGTACACAATCCTTGATTGAAATGTAATATACATTACAGTCATAACACAAAGCAATTATTATGTAGTAGACTTTTACTATTTTCAAGAAACAAACATATGTTTCTGTAAATAAAAATTATCTCCCATATTATCCTTATGGAGAAATACGGAACTTTAAAGGGCCCCAGGTCCTCATTCTCTAATTATTCCCCTAAAAAGAAAGTTTCCTGCACAACTTCAAGTTACGCTCTTTCCAATGACACCAAAAACATGTCAATCGGTTCAGTAGTTTCGGAGGAGTAATTGTCACAATAATCCTGCTTGCGTATTAAATAAGTATATAGATAGATTACCAAACTTTATATTTATTAAACTTTATTTTATAACATAATCATTATATTACGCACTTTACAAATATATAAATTAATAAATTCCCCGCCACAGTAAACCTGCAGACTAAGCGAATTTCAATTTGCGTGATAGGATATTCCATTTAAATAACATTAAGTTTGACAAGTCCCTTGGTTCGCTGCCACAGGGAGGGTAATAAAATGTTTTTTAATAGCTTAGTATAAAATAAATACATTTGCCCAGTTTGATCATAATATATCCATAAACGATCAAATTACAACATTTTACAATATTCACCATCAGAATAGCATAGGAATTTTAAATATTCGATCTTTTCAATTTTCTCCAAACCAATAACACTGTAAAAACACTGTGATACACTAAATTATTTGTTTTTAAGCTCTTTAAAATACAGTAGTTTAGAGGGACATTTAGAAATTTTGTGTTTTATTTATTTATTTTATTTTTTTACGGCAAACACCATTTTTACAATCGTTTTACATTGTGATACATGCGACAAGATGCTTATTACATGCTGATAAATGTTGTACAGATACATCAGTGATACATGCAAAGATTAAAATGAAAAGATGAAGAACATGTTCAAAGAAAATTACATGCAGTTGTAATAACAATTAAAGAGTGAAAGTTAAATTTAAAAGGTAATCATAATAATTAAGTAACATGCTCAGCGAACAACAGGCTATAACTATAGGTAACAATAACAAATAAAATAGATAACATGCTTGGCGATAAATAATCTATAACCAGGTAACAATAATAATTGGCAACAATACTGACAGTGGTGATAGAGATGCAATGCGGAAACGAGTAATAGTGATAACAATAACGGACTAAAAAAAAATAACAGCGATAATGAATAAAGAAGGCAACAATGATAAAATTAAAAAAAAGATAACAAAGTTAGACTCTGATACAAACAGCAGATAAACAACAGCAGACTGTTGAGGGTCAAAAGTAAGAAAACCCAAATTTTACCACATAAAACCGCCGTAACACCCCGTTCCAATCAATGGTCGCGAACTCATTATTACACCTTCAAACCAAATTTAATCAAAATCAGACAAAAAATACTCAAGTTGATCACGGACACATTGGACATTGGACTTATTCTAAAACATTATTTAGTATCAGCTGTTACCATTAGCCAAAATGTTATGGTGAGTAGTGAGGGATAGATTATAACAAACCTGGGTACTCCCCAACAGATGTTGACCAAGATAAAACCATAATAGCTGATCGGAGATGAATTATATACATTTTTGCCATAGAGTGGATAAGATGACGAGTCTACTAACAGTATCCGAACTCAATGATGCTATTATAACCCCAGTATACTTGAGAAGGTAATGGATGGAACGTATGACAAGAGCATCGATGTATAATGACAAGAGATGTCAAGAGCAAGCAACAAATCAAGGCTAGGCTGAGAACGATAAGTATATCTATACTTATTTAATACACAAGCAGATTTTTTTGTGACAATTACTCCTCCGAAACTACTGAACCGATTGAAATATTTTTATATGGAAATAATTAGAGAGTGAGGCCCTGGGGCCCTTTAAAGTTTCGTATTTCTCCATAAGATTAACATGGGATACAAACATTGTTATGAAACTCCAGCTGTTGTCAGAAATGCTGTTCTGATATTTAATTTAACTAGTGCTCCTGTTGCTCGAATTCGAGCTATTGCAAAGTATTACAGGTGTTATTTCAAAACGAATAACAGTCACAATTTCTGATTACTTTAAATAGTAAACTCAAAGATAATGTAATCAATCACTCCACTCCAATTTTAGAACCTGGAAACGAACTCACCCTGTAAACGAACGCTCACTTCACTTCAGTTATTGAA